CACAGCCCAGGGGACCCACCCCCTGGCGACCCAGTGCCCCTGCCCCATGGGCGGGGGGCAGCCGTAATGTTTTCTCTCTCGTTGCGCCCAGGGGCCGGACCAGGTGTATGAGGGCATCACCTTTGAAGACTTCCTTAAGGTTGGTGGCATCTCTGCTCGTCTCCGCGGGAGGAGGGCGCTGGGCGGTCGCAGGGACCTGGGCGTTTGGTGTGGGCACCGAGCCGAACCCCCGTCCCACCCCCCGTCCCCTTCCCCTTGCAGATGTGGCAGGGGATCGACATCGAAACCAAGATGCACGTCCGCTTCCTCAACATGGAGACCATCGCACACTGCTACTGACTGAGGAGGAGGAAGAGGAGGAGGAAGAGGACTCCGCAGCAGCTCCATGTTCCTGGCACCAAGCGCTTTGTACCCACCCACGTGCCTGTCCCGTAGTGGGGCTGCCTTCTGCTCTCTAGAAACATAAGAGGCTTTTATCTGTAATAAAAGGTATTTCTCTTTTTACTCCTTGCTGAGAAATACTCCATCCATCCATCGCCCAGGGCCTGGCGGGGATCTCTCCCTGTGCAGAAAGCCTCCGCAAATCCTGGTCTTCCCTTAAACTTGAATTTTTAGCCTCTGCCATGTGCTGCTCTGGGGAAGGATCCCTGTGCAGAAAGCCTCCACAAATCCTGGTCTTCCCTTAAACCTGAATTTTTAGCCTCTGCCGTGTGCTGCTCTGGGGAAGGAGCTGCCCCCTTTGTGCTGCGAGCCCCCCGATCCCGTGCCATGGGGCCCGTATGCAGGCAGGGGTGGGGATGCTGAGGGGCAGGAGTTGAAGGCAGCGTCCTCAGCACCTGGAAGGGCAATCACATCTCCCTCTGCATCCCGTGAGATGCTGAAGCCAGCGAAGGTGGCAGCGGCACAAGGAATAACCCTAAATCAAACCCAAACCAGCCACCTTGGCTGTGTGGGACCACGCCGAGGCAGGCAGCAGGGATGCAGGGACATGGGGACGTGGGCTCCTGGCAG